ACACTTTGGTGAGGACAGTGGCCTTGGGCTTAGAGAAAATCACCTTTATTGGGGGAAAAACAGGTCCCTATTTGGAGTCACTTCCTCCTTCTGCCTTTCTCCTTGAGGCTGAGGTAGCTTCCCCAAGGACACTTTGACCACACACACCAAAGGCAAACCAGCCAGAGGAAACCAGCCCCGTCATAAGTGAATGTTTGCCAGTTGAATGGTGGTTTAAATTGCTGATTCATAGAAACACTGAAAGCATCTACTAGAATGTACAACACCAGGTAATATCTGTGGAGTTGAGATGAATATGTTGATTATTATTGTGGTGCTCACATTACCCAGTGGGTGGGGATTTGTGTACTTGGATGCCTGACAGATCCTGATGATTTGGGCTCAACTTATTTTCCTTCAGACTTGAAGCGGGTGAGACACAGTGACTCTGAGTAATAGAAGCAACCTTATATGCTCTAATGAATGCTGCAGAAAATCCAAGAAATTCTTCTGAATCACTATTTTCACATATCATATCTATCACCCACCTCCCCACACATCCTAGTACTGTGGGAAACTGCTGTCTGTATCCCAGGAGTTGTCTTTTAAAAATCACAATTCAAACAATTGCAAGACCCCCTGAAATCCATGTTGACTGCTTTGTCTTGGGGACTCTTATTTCAGCCTTGAGAATGGGTTCAGAGGAAAGGTCATAGCTCTGGAGTGGTCATCTCTGGACCTTAGGATCATGGATATTCTTTTCTGTCATTTCTGTAGTCCTAAAATTGTCTAATAGAATACATATATGACTTTTGAATTTTGTTTTAGAAATGGAATCACATATTTCAAAATTTAAAACTGTCTGCATGCTATTCAGCACTTAGAGACCACATGCGAAATTTGGCGACTAAAAAGGCTTGTAATGGGCTCTGTCTTGACTACTTTTTCTCCCCTTTTCTTTAGCAATTTTTTCCTTCTTTACAAAGCAAATCTGTTTTCTCTCCTGATTCCTACTGATCCCATCTGCAAGTTAGTGACAAAGTTCATGCTTTCGTGCTCAGGGTGGCTTATTGGGCTTGAAAATCTGTTTTTTCCCTAGGTTGTAGAGATATGTGGTATTATGAAAAGCAGTAAAAATACTCAGTTATTTTTTTGTTTTGGCCGTTTATTGAGATTAATTTATTTTTATGTTCATTATTTTATTGAGGTCACATTGGTTTATAACTGTGTAAATTTCAGCTGCACATCATTATATTTCAGCTTTTACATAGACTGAATCGCATTCATCCCCAAACATTTAGTTTTCATCTGTCACTGTAGTTATGTGCCCCTTAACCCCTTTTGCCCTTTCCCCTACCCATTCTCCTCTGGTAACCACCAATCTGTTCTTCTTATCTACTTCTTTGTTTGCTTATCTTGAACTTATGAGTGAAATCATACAGTGTTTGTCTTTCTCTGACTTACTTCACTTAGGATAATACCCTCAAGGTACATCCATTTTGTCACAAGTGGCATGATTTCATCCTTTTTGGGGCCGAATACTATCCCATTGTATATATATGTATGTATATGTATATATATAGATGTCTATATACATACGCATATATATATATACACCACATCTTCTTTATCCATTCATCTGTTGATGGGCATTTGGGTTGCTTCTAAGTCTTGGCTATTGTAAATAATGCTGCAGTGAACATAGGGATGCATATATCTTCTCCAATTAGTGTTTCTGTGTTCTTTGGATAAATAGTCAAAAGTGGAATAGATAACTCATGGGATATTTTTATTTTTAATTTTTTAGAAAACTCCATACTGTATTCAGAACTGACTGCCCCAGTTTACATTCTCTCCCGCAGTGTATGAGGGTTTCCTTTGTCCACATCCCCTTCAAAACTTATCTGTTGTGTTTTTAATAACAGCCATTCTGGTGAGTGTGAGATTATATCACATTGCAGGTTTGATTTGCATTTCCCTAATAATTAGTAATGTTAAACATGTTTTAATGTGCCTATTGGCCATCTGTAAATTTTGTTTGGAAAAATGTTTGTTCATATCCTCAGCCCAGTTTTTTTTTTTTTTTTTTTTTTTTGAGGAAGATTAGCCCTGAGCCAACATCCACTGCCAATCTCCTCTTTTTGCTGAGGAAGACTGGCCCTGAGCTAACATCCGTGCCCGTCTTCCTCTACTCTTTACATAGATGCATGGCTTGATGAGTGGTGCAGATGCATGTGGTTGTCCAGTTTCCTCAATTCCACATATTGAAGAGACTTTCCTTTCTCCATTGTATGTTCCTGGCTTGTTTGTTGAAGATTAGCTCTCCATTGATATGCTGTTTTATTTTTGGGCTTCAAATTCTATTCCACTGATCTGTGTATCTGTTTTTCTGCCAGTACATTATTGTTATGATTACTATATCTTTGTAATATATTTTGAATTCAGGAGTGTGATACATCCAGTTTTGCTCTTTTTTCTCAGAATTGCTTTCCCTACTCGGGGTCTTTTTTCATTCCATATAAGTTTTAGGATTCTTTGTTTTATTTCCATGAAAAAAGTCACTGGGATTCTAATTTAGATTGCACTGAATCCATAGACTGCTTTAGATAATATGGACATTTGGAGTATGTTAATTCTCCAATGCATGAGCACAGAATATCTTACCATTTCTTTGTGCCTTCCTCAATTTCTTTCAACATTGTCTTACAGTATTCAGTGTCCAGGTCTTTCACCCCCTTGGTTAAATTTATTCCTAGGTCTTTTAATCTTTTTGTTGAAATTATAAATAGAATTGTATTCTTGATTTCTGTCTGCTAGTTCTTTGTTAGTGTATAGAAACACAACTGATTTTTATATGTTGAGTTTGTACCCTACAACTTTGCTCTTTTCATTTATTGTTTCTAATAGTTTTCTAGTGGATTCTTTAGAGCTTTTTATATAGAAAATGATGTTATTCAGAAATAGTGACAATTTTACTTCTTCCTTTCCAATTTGGATACCACTTATTTCTTTTTCTTGCCTAATCATTCTTGCTAGGATTTCTAATACCATGATGAATAAGAGTGACAAAAGTGTGCATCTTGTCCTCCTCCTGTGCTTGGGGAATAGTTTTCAGTTTTTCACGAATGACTGTGGGTTTTACTTATATGGCCTTTATTATATTGAGGTATTTTCTTTCTATACCCATTTAACTGAGAGTTTTTATCACAAATGGATGCTGAATCTTGTCAAATGATTTCTCTGTATCTATTGAGATGATCATGTGATTTTGTTCTTCATTTAGTTAATGTGGTGTAACACACTGATTGATTTATGGATGTTGAACCATACTTGCAACTCTGGAAGAAATCCCAGATTTCTTGTATTGTTGTATCCAACTTGCTAAAATTCTGTTGAGAATTTTTGCGTCTATGTTTATCAGCGATATCGACCTGTAATTTTCTTTTTTGTGTCTTCTTTGTCTGTTTCTGGTATCAGGGTCATGTTGAACTTGTAAAATGAGTCAGAAAATGTCCACTTCTCTTCAATACTTTGGAAAAGTTTGAGCAAGATGAGTGTTAAATCTTCTTTGAATGTTTGGTAGAATTCACCAGAGAAGTCATCTGGTCCTGGAGTTTTATATTTTCTGAGGTTTTTGATAATGGTATTAGTTTTCTTGCAAATGATTGGTCTATTCAGATTATTTGTTTCATCTTGATTCAATTTGTGAAGGTTGTATGATTCTAGGAATTTATCCACTTCTTCTAGTTCATCCAATGTGTGTGCATATGTTTTTTCACAGTATTCTCTTGTAATCCTTTGTAGTTCTGTGATATCTGATGTAATTTCTCCTCTTTCATTTTTGACTTTGTTTATTTAAACCTTCTCTTTTTTTTCTTAGAGCCTAGTAAAGTTTTATCCATTTTGTTTATCTTTTCAAAGAACCAGCTTAGTTTCATTGATCCTTTCCATTTTCATTTTAGTCTCTATTTCATTAACTTCCAGTGGGATTTTTATCATATCTTTCCTTCTACTGATTTTGGGCTTCATTTATGTTTCTTTTTCTAGTTCCTTTAGGTATAACGTTAAAGCATTTATTTGAAATTTTTCTTGTTTTTAGAAATAGGCCTGTATTACTATAAACATTCCTCTTAGTAGCACATTTACTCCATCCCGTATATTTTGGTATGTTGAGTTTCATTTTCATTTTCATTTAGATTTTTTTAAATTTCTGTTTTGATTTCTTCCTTGATCCAATAGTTATTCAGTATCATATTTGTGACTGTGACAGCTTTCTTCTCTAGTTGATTTCTAGTTTCACATCATGAGACCAGAAAAGATGCTTGGTGTCATTTCAAATTTAGGTTCAAATAGAGAATCTAATATTTCATAGGACATAAAAGTATATAAATTTCTTCTTTTATTCGAGGAAAAGTAATGTCATCACAGAAATGAATTTCATATTTGGCATTGCTGGGTATGGAATCATATTGACACATGGTAAACGCGGCTTTACTAAAAATGAAGAAATTTGTTCACATTTCTCAAGTATATTTGTATTGGCATATTTTCATTTCAGTTACTGAAGAGTTTCTTCCTTTTAGAAATACATCCCCAAATGGCTAACAAAGCAACCCTAGTGTTTGTTAGAATAAAAGGGCCTTTCCTTTGATGTAATGTCTGAGCAGTTTCTACACAATTGAACACCTGGAAATTAAAAAAACATCTTAATTCTCTGAATGTGTTTCCTAATGATTTAGAAAAGCAGTTGGTTGACCAGCTGGGCCTGATCTCTTGTTTTTCTGCTGTTATTCTTTCCATTTTCTATCAATGATTTTCAATGATTAATCCCTTGGTGGAAAACAGATGTTTGGGTCGATTTATCTGGGAAAAACTTAATGAAATATCTGACACCACAAAACTTATATTCAAGGGCTTCCAAAGGAACCCAGAAGATGAAATTGCCAGGACACAGTTTTTTAATTGTCAGTTACATCATGAAACTTAGGAAGAGGTTGAGTTTTTGTAGAATCTGTAACCAGTGTGATAGCTCAGGCTGGATCAAGAAATTTGGAGAAGGGACTAAGCTCATCGTGATTCCCCCTGGTAAGTAACTTTTTTCTATTTTTCCCCTAGTAATGAACAACAGATAGATACTTTTTAGAAAAAACAAGTTAGAATCACCCTTATCCGACTGCCACATACTTGACAGCAAGTTTGCGGCTACTGGTCACTGTAAAGGAAAACAAAACTACTCTGTAAATGGTTTGTTCATGTCCCTGCTTGTAAGCTCATTGAGATTCTACTTTTAGAATGCACACTCAAAAAGTGATAGACTCAGGCTAGCAATTTAGATGTTTTTTGGACCATATCTCTAAACCATTGTTATAAGTTATTGGTGCAAGACAATTTTCTTGTAGACAAATTTTTAAGTGAGAGACACTTTTATTAATTAACTCTTCTCTATAGTTTGGGATAAAACATGGTGCTCCTTTCTCACAATAACTTGCAAAACTTGTTATTAGTTTTCATCTCATCCCTAACAGCAGGGCAAAAAATTAATTCTTAATGTAAATGACTAGAGAACATCAACAAATCTCACTTGATATTACTGTAGCTTCTTAGAGGGTGGCTGAGATCAGTCAAAATTTATGCTCTCACAACTCTTGTAGAATTAGCTAGAGATGGCCCATTTTAAGGGAATTTGTAAGCTCAATAAGCCATTTCATCTCCAAAGTCCATGAAAAGGTCTACATGCTTTTACATCTCATTTGCTCATTCATTCTGTCAGCAAACATGCATTGAAAACAGTCTATTACTGGAGATAAATTGGGGAAGAAGATAAAGCCACAAAAAGTCCCAATATTCCAAAAACTTTTAGTCTGGTGGGTAAATATTCTGATTCCAATCAGGTCCTTAGACTCTGCTCTTGGCCTGATGTACCAAGGAGGACATTAACAAGGAGTTAAGTATTTAGAACAATTGTGAGTCCCTAGAGGTGGAGATGTGAGGTCCATGTGGTATTTCTGTATTGAAACATTTGTACTGAAGTTTACATATTTTATTTATTTGATATTTTATTCCCAAGCAATATTACCAAATCTGAGTTCAATTTATTTATTTTCTTTCACCAGTGTTAGCTCCAAAACTAGCATTAATTGAGCTCATTTGAGGTGGAGATCTTCTCCAAGTAGTATTTTTTGTTCACAGTAGAGTATTAGAAGAGTATTTTTTAATATGAGAGGTTGCACAAGGACTTAAACATGAGGCAACTTCTGTTTTCCAATGGATTGTTTGGGCAAAGAGAGCATCACCTTGTGTTCTAACACTTTCAGCCTGTTTGAATTCTGCCTGTTTTGTGTCTATATCACTGAGCTAGGATCTGTAAACATATTCTCCCAACTCTCATGTTATATGTGAGTTAGACCTTACTAAACTATCAACCACAGGGGCAGAAAAAGAAATAAGTTATAATGCACAAACTATTCATGATCTATTTCAAGTGTCTATTTCCAAAATCTATTTGAGAAGAGTGAAAATAAATCCACAAGTACAGACATACCTTATTTTATTGCACTCTGCTTTATTGCACTTCACAGATATTGCATTTTATAAAAATCGAAGGTGTGTTGCAACTCTGAGGCAAGCTAGTGTATCAGTACCATTTTTCCAACAGCATTTGCCCACTTCATTTCTCTCATCACATTTTGGAAATTCTCACAATATTTCACATCTTTTCATTGTTATTACATTTGTTGTGGTCATCTATGATCACTGATCTCTGATGTTACAATTGTAATTGTTTTGGGGCACCATAAACTAGGCCCATATAAGATAGTGAAGTTAATTGTTAAATGTTTGTCTTCCGACTGTTCCACTGACTCCCCACATCTCTCTCCCTCTCCTTGGGCCTCCCTGTTCCCTGAGATCCAACAACATTGAAAATGGCCAGCTAATAACCCTACAATGGCCTCTAAGGGTTCAAGTGAAAGAAAGAGCTGCATCTATCTCATTTTAAATTAAAGGCTAGAAAGAGCAAGCCTACTGAGGAAGGCATACCGAAAACTGATGTAAGCCAAAAGATAGGCCTCTTGTGCCAGTTACCCAAGTTGTGACTGCAAAGGAAAAGTTCTTGAAGGAAATGAAAAGTGCTACTCCAGTGAACACAGACATGAGAAGAAAGCAAAACAGCCTTACTGCTGATATGGATTAAATTTTAGCAGTCTGGATAGATCAAAACAGCTATAACATCCCCTTAACTCAAAGGCTAATCCAGATCAAGCCCCTAACTCTCTTTAATTCTATGAAAGATGAGAGAAGTGAGGAAGCTACAGTGGAAACATTTGATGCTAAGAGAGGTTTAAGGAAAGAAGCCATCTCCATAACATAAAAGTGCAAAATGAAGCAGAAAGTGCCGATGTAGAAAGTGTAGCAAGTTATCCAGAAGATCTAGCTAAGGTAATTCCTGAAGGTGGCTACACTATGTGACAGACCTTCAATATAGATGAAACAGCTTTATGTTGGAAGAAGATGCCATCTTGGACATTCATAGCTAGAGAGGAGAATTCAATCCCGGGCTTCAAGTTTCAAAGGACAGGCTGACTCTCTTGTTAGGAGTTAATGCAGCTGATGACTTTATGTTGAAGCCAACATTCACTTACCACTCTGATAATCCTAGGACCCTTAAGAATTATGCACTAAATCTACTCTCCCTTTGCTTCTTAAATGAAATAGCAAAACTTGGGTGACAGCACATCTGTTTACATCATGGTTTAATGAATATTTTAAGCCCACACTTGAGACCTACTGTTCAGAACAGAACATCTCTTTGAAAGTATTAGTGCTCATTGACGATACACCTGGCCATGCAAGAGCTCTGATGGAGATGCACAACGAGATTCATGTTGTTTTCATTCCTGCTAACATAACATATATTTCGCAGTCCATGGATCAAGGAGGAATTTTGAATTCCAAGTCTTATTATTTAAGAAATACCTTTCATAAGGCTATAGCTGCCACAGATAATGATTCCTCTGATGGATCTGGGCAAAGTAAATTGAAAATCTTCTAGAAAGGTTTCACCATTCTAGATGTTATTAAGAACATTCATGATTCATTGAAAGTGGTCAAATATCAACTTTAAGAGAAGTTTGGAAGAGATTGATTACAACCATCATGGATGACTTTGAGGGGTTCAAGACTCCAGTGAAGGAAGTGCCTGCAGACGTGGTGGAAATAGAGAACAAGAATTAGAAGTGGAGCCTGAATTGTGACTGAATTGCTGAAATCTCTGACAAAGTTTAATGATTGAGGAGTTGCTTCTTATGGATGATCAAAGAAACTGGTTTCTTGAGATAGAATCTCTTCCTGGGGAAGACACCGGAGACTGTGAAATGACAACGAGCATTTAAAACATTACATAAACTTAGTTGATAAAGCAGCAGCAGGGTTGAGAGAATTGACTCTAATTTTGAAAGAAGAACTACTGTGGGTAAAATGCTATCAAACAGCATCACATGCTACAGAGAAATTGTTTGTAAAAGGAGGAGTCAACCAGAATATGACAAAGTGTTATTTGGGCCAAAGAGCATAAATGACAAAATTCATGGGATGGGAAAAGGGAAGTACTTTAGCAAGGACCAGACATTCTCACGTGCAGAGAGATCATCAAAGTTACTTGATCTCCTCCCCCATTCCCGCCACCTACCCAGCCACCTTGAAAACATGCTCCACAGTGACGGAACAAAAAAGAATTAGAAAAATACATGTGTTCATCAATGTTAGAAACTTTGGCATGGGACAGCTAAAAGTCATACCCTATTTTAGCATGTGGAGAAAGAACAAAGGCCAAGTTGAGATCCAGGCTCTGCCACAAACCAGCCATGACTCCAGGCAAGTTACATGACCTCTGGAAACTCTTTCCCCACTGAAAATAACAATAAATACCACCCAGTCTATGGCGGATGAAAGGCCATGGTAAGCACTAATTTAAGGGCAGCTTTTCCTCCTTTTACTATGCTCTGGGTTGTTCCTAACCACACAGTGTTTGCGCTTTTCTGATGATTCTCTTTCATTGCTATTCCATTTTCCTGCACAGATATACATCTTCCTGTAGACATTTCCCCCAAACCAATTGTTTTTCTTCCTTCCATTGCGGAGATAAACCTTCAGAAGACTGGGACATATTTTTGTCTTCTTGATAAATTCTTCCCTGATGTTATCAAGGTATATTGGAAAGAAAAGAATGGCAATACAATTCTGGAATCCCAGCAGGGAAATACCATGAAGACTAATGACACATACATGAAATTCAGCTGGCTGACTGTGACCGAAAATTCAATGGACAAAGAACACAAATGTATCATCAAACATGAGAACAATAAAGGAGGGGTTGACCAAGAGATTCTTTTTCCTTCAGTGATTCAAGGTATGTATATGTAAGCGTAACCTCCAAGAACAATTTTTTGCAAAGGAAAGCTTCCCAGCTTCTCTCTCAAGTATTAATGAAAAATGAAGAAATATAAATGTTTCCTAAATCTTGTTCCATGTATTGGTAGCATAAACGTCCCTCTACTTCCCCATAGAATTAAAATAGTTAAAGCTTTGGAACATAAAAGAGTAAAAGAAAACTTTCCTTAACTTTTCTCAACCTCAGTTTAATAAACCAAAATATTAAGGTCTCAGTGGTATTTTTTTAGGGTAGTTGGAAGGATTAAATGAAACAAGATATGTGAAAGCACCTAAGAAGTCAGAACACAAGAAATTCTCAAACGAGATTCCCCTTTTGATGATCTCATTTGATCAGGAAATAAGTACAATTACATGTCTTTCAGGAATGTTCTCCTCAGCTTTCATCTTGCTATACTCAGAGTACAAACTCAAAATATAGCTATTATGTGAAAAAATGGTGTCCATTTGATGGAGCCAATTCGTGGCTCAACAGAAAGTCAAGTAATTTGGTGATTGCAGGTTTATTATGGTCTTAGTGTTTCCAGATATGTATTTTATATACCGTTGTGAAGTAACGTTTAATAATTAGAGATTGAGTGAGACTAATATGTACATACATTCTTCCATTCTATACAATGAATGTTATTTCTTGCCATTGGTAAATGCAGCTCAAAAAACATTTATTGGACAACTGGCCTGTGGAGGCCTGGAGGGGATGTGTGGATTAGCACACTGGGATGACTTACTGTCCCAAGGAGGATGCACTCTTGTAAGAGAGTACATTCTTTTCCTAATCACTCAGGGTCACTCATGAGTCAGGCATGATGTCCAAAGGAGTCCCTTTGAGGCAGATGTTGTACATATTTAGACAGTGTGGGCAGAGAGCCGAATGGGCCTTGTTACAGACAGTGGTCCGGTAAGTCTCTAGACCCAGGATATAAGGTCTAAATACGATCACAACAGACCAAAGGCCTCAGAGCACCTATAAATAAGACGGAATCAGTTTGTACTTTACCCTGTGGTTAACAAGCCCTTTGGAAGCCGTGGGGAACAAGCACGGAACAAAATGTGTAAAGACCATTCCTGTGCACCAGTCCGAATTTCTGAAGTCGGTCTTCATCTCTCAGATCTGTAGTTTCATCAGTGGCCAAAATTATGTTCAAACACTTGCGTTGACTTTCTCCTGGTGCCATGAAGAAGAGCAAATGAAATAATGTCAGTGGAAACACTTGCTTTTGAAAACCTAACATAGGTGTGTTTATTTATGTATTTATAGCATTTTTTAATATCCTTTCCCCAAACTCACTAACGTAAGATTTTAAAAACAGCCCTGATTTACTATTTCTACAGCTAAGAAACAGAGGGGAAGAGGATATGCAAATCACAAGTTTAATATATCCACTGAACAGAAGAGTCCTGTTAGGTTGTGATTTTTCTAGTGATCAGGGGAAAATGAGAAGTACGGTAAGTTCCGTGGTGATGATTATCATAGAGAAGTTCCAGTTCAGAATGTGTTTACTTGGTGCCTAATTTCTGAAGCAAATGTCTTCCATTTGCTTCTCAGGGCAACAAAGCTGATGAGGACATTTCTGTTAATGCCATCCTATGCCAAATTTCTAATGCAATTTCTTGGAAATTTTCGTTTTTGCTAAGAACTAAGAATATAACTTGGAATCGTAAATCAATAAAGGAATTTTGAAGAACATAAAACTAGTCTGGTCCAAGATTTTAACCAAGCTTGGTTGACAGAGAGAACTTAGGATACATACATAGATTTTATTATGAAAAAGTGTTATTTTATTGTTTTACCTCAATCAATGCATGGTGATAAAAGAGTTTTATTTATCTTTTGATGAATAAGTCACCTTTGAGGAAAAGGAGGAGAATTTTAAGACACATTAAATTCAGTCCTTGAAGAAATTTTAACACCTAAACATGATTATGCTAGCATTTTCCTTCTTGGAATTTATTCCAAATCTTAGATCTCAAACCCATTTTTCTAGCCTCAAAGAAATGAGCTCATTGAGTGCATAAAATTTCATACCAGAACCCTATTCATATAGGTAACAACACATCAGGTAGAACAAGGATAAACCAAAAGAGTTGTTTCAACTCTATTTTCTTCCATCCAACAGTCAATTATCTTTAAAATAATTTTATCTTTGCATATTTGCCTCCTTGGTTCTTTTTACATTGTAAATAAGTTTCACCTTGTGTTTTATATAATATGACTTGGCCTATCCTTCTACCTTAGGAAAGAATTACACTTCAATGCTGAGCTCGTGTAATACAAAAGGTCATTTTCTAAGAATAATCGAGATATTGGGAAGAGAAGACGTTTTTCGTGTCCACAATGGTGGAATTATGTTGTTTCTATATAGATTATGTTCTATTTCTATGGCTTATTATTTATTTCTTACTTTTGCAGGGAAAAATTCTCCCTGAGTTAACATCTGTTGCCAGTCTTCTTCTTTTTTTTTTTTTTTGCCTCTCCAAAGCCCCAGTAAATAGTTGTATATGCTAGTTGTAAGTTGTTCTAGTTCTACTGTGTCAGCCACGGCCACCGCATGGCAACTGTACCACAGGTGATATGGTTCCCTGGCCAGGAAGTGTACCTGGGCTTCCAGAGCCGTGAGCACTGAACTTTAACCACTAGGCCATCAGGGCTGACTCTCTACGGTTTATTTTTACAAAGTAATTTCCACATGCTCTATCTCACTTGATTCTCCACAGGATCCTTTGAATGTTGGCTCTGCCATCACTGGGATGACTCTCGGCAAGTCAGTTACATTCCCAAACTTATTCCCTCCTTTGTGACAAGGAGGCCTCCAAAATAAAACTCACTTCAACGTGACTGCAGCGTTAAACGAGGTAATGTGTGTGAAGCATTTAACTCGGTGCCTGGCACAGTAATAATCACTCAATAGCTATTAGCTCTTATTTACATTGTTGTCACGTCCATAGACACCACAACTGCAGAAAATCATGTGCATGAGTTGGAAATATGGGGATAGGCATGCTTGGAAAGCTGCGGATGCTTTCCATGGTTTCAATGGGATATTTGCCCAAACCCGATTCTTGCAGCCATGAGATTCTGCTGCAGATTCTAAGATTTGATGAATTGATTTTGGTAGCAACACTTCGTGTCAGCAGCATGTGCTGAAGACAGTCGTGTAGCCACATTTTCTGTTTACTTTTCCATCTGACAAGTGTTTCTTCAACACCTCCTTTATAGGAGGCACAGTGCTAGGAGATTGGAACTCAGAAAGAAAACAAGATAGTCTTGGATATTACCTTCCAGTTGTGATAAAGCAGAAAAGGAACATGTTCTTCATGGAGGTCAACATATTCCTGTGCAGAAACGTAATACATGAATCAGATCTACTGAATTATGTAGAAGCAGATGAACTATTCCTGGAATCGTAGGGCTCATATATTTAAGGATGGTCTCTCTGTCAGTGGATTGTGTGTGTGTGTGTGTGTCTGTGTGTGTGGGTCTGTGTGGGTTTGTGAATTAACACATACTCATCTAAACAGATGCGCACACTGTTGAATAATGGGCATGAATAATTGACTAATACATGTTCCTGTTTCTTCTACTTCTTGTCTCAACTGTCGCTGCTATTGAGTTGGCCAAGGCTTTCCGGAAAGATAGAAGAAACTTACTGTCAATGTGTGCCTCTATGTCATGCCATAGGTCTTTTCCCCCTCCTGATCAACTTAACATTAGAACTTCTCAGGCTTAAGGTAGAAAAGACCAATTATTCCTGAAATTGTGGGGCTCATAGTTTTCATATTTTTAGTGACTTTCTCTCATCTGTCAGCATATTATATATATACACCTGTATGTATACAGACACCATCAAATAATGGGCATGAACAACTGACTAATATTTGCTCTCATTTCCTCTAGTTGTCACTGCTTCTGATTCTACAACAGCTTCCCCAACAGAGGAAAGTGGTGAGTTTTGTTATATGCCTGCCTTCACGTCATGCTACAGCAATTTTTTCCCTCCTGATCAACTCAACCTTTGAACTTCTCAGTCTTAACGTAGAAAAGATTAGTTATTCCTGGAATTGTGGAGCTCATAATTATCATATTTTTAATGCTTGTCTCTTATGTCTGTCAGCAGTTTATATATATATATACACACATATATATATTTGATAGTGTCTGCATACATATAGGTATATATATATATTATATATAACATGTATACATATCTATGCAGACACTATGAAATAATGGACACGGAGAATTGACTAATATTTGCTCTCATTTCCTCTAGTTGTCAGTGCTTCTAATTCTACAACAGCTTCCCCAACAGAGGAAAGTGGTGGGTTTTGGTGTATGCCTGCCTTCACGTCATGCTGTAGCAATTTTTTCCCTCCTGCTCTACTTAACGTTTGAACTTCTTAGTCTTAAAGTAGAAAAGACCAGTGATTCCTTGAATTGTGGGGCTCATAATTTTCATATTTTAATGCTTGTCTCTCCTGTCTCTCAGCAGGTTATACATATATTATATATACATATACATATTTGATATTGTCTGGGTACATATAGGTATATATTATATACTGTATATGCATTTGATCGTGTCTGTATAGATATCTATATATCTATGCAGACATGATCAAATAATGGTCATGGACAATTGACTAATACTCGGTTTCATTTCTCCTAGTGGTCAGTACTAATGGTTCTACTACAGCTTCCCCAACAGAGGAAAGTGGTGAGTTTTGGTGTATGCCTGCCTTCATGTCACGCTATAGCAATTTCTTCCCTCCTGATCAACTTAACCTTTGAACTTCTCAGTCTTAAAGTAGAAAAGACCAGTTATTCCTGGAATTGTAGGGCTCATAATTTTCATATTTTTAATGCTTGTCTCTTCTGTCTGTCAGCAGATTATATATATATATACATATATAATATATATATTATATATATGTTTGATAGTGTCTGCTTACATATAGGTATATATACATATGCAGACACTATCAAATAATGGGCATAGACAATGGACTAATATTTGACTCATTTCTTCTAGTTTCACTGCTTCTGATTCCACAACAGCTTCCCCAACAGAGGAAAGTGGTGAGTTTTGGTGTATGCCTGCCTTCACGTCATGCTATGACAAATTTTTCCCTCCTGGTCAACTCAACTTTTGAACTTCTCAGTCTTAATGTAGAAAGACCAGTTATTCCCAGATTTGTGGGGCTCATAATTTTCATATTTTCTGCTTGTCTCTTCTGTCTGTCAGAAGATTATACATATATATATATATGTTAGATAGTGTCTGCATACATATAGGTATATATATCTATGCAGACACTATGAAATAATGGCCATGGAGAGTTGACTAATATTTGCTCTCATTTCTTCTAGTTGTCACTGCTTCTGATTCTACAGCAGCTTCCCCAACAGGGGAAAATGGTAAGTTTGTGTATATGCCTGCCTTTATGTTGTGCTATAGAGATTTTTCCCTCCTGGTCAAATTACCTTTTGGACATCCTGGTTCATAGGAGATAAGCCCAATTATTCCTGGAATGGTTGGGGTTATATTTTTAATGATATCTTTCCTGTCTCTCTGTTGACAAATTTTACATACATATGTGTGTATATGTTGTACATGCATGTATATCTGTTGTCAAGTAATAGGCATGAACAATTGACTAATACTTTCTCTCATTTCTTCTAGAGGCCACAGATATTAATTCTACCAAAGCTTGTCTGAAAGATGAAAGCAGTAAGTTTTTGTAGGTTTCCCTCTATGTCACGCTATAGCAATATTTTCTTCCTGTTCAGATTTTGAGCGCCCCTTACATATGGTAGAAAACTAGAATGGCTGTATGTTGAAGAGTAGAATGAGTGATAGCTTAAATCAATCCATCATTTCCTAGGAGTCACTTTAAGATAGCAAATGGTGATTTGCGGATGAGATGACTGTAAATTAGAGTGTACCATGATAGGCTCTCTGAATTATTTCAACAATGGACTTCATGCGTTTGTGCATCTTTTGTTTCTGATGACCAAGGAAGACGTCATATCAAGGTGCTTCCAGATGTTTTCTATGTGTGCGTGAGGGAGACTGGCCCTGAGCTAACATCTGTTGTCAATCTTCCTCTATTTTATGTGGCATGCAGCCACAACATGGCTTGAGGAGCAGTGCTAGGTTCGCACCCAGGATCTGAAACTGCGAACCCCAGGCCACAGAGGTGGAGCATGAACTTAATCAGTACGCCACCAGGCCAGGACCTGGATTTTTTTTTTTTTTTTTAAGTATTTGGTCCTTGCTAGTAGCCAATAGCATGAACTGACATGTACTGAGAGCTTCTATTGTTCTGGGATCTACATGCATTTTCTTGTTTAAATCTCAAAATACTCCTATGAGGTGATATAATATTTCCCCATTTATAAGAGGTCAGTGAGCTAAAATTAATTAAGTCCCTTGCACCATGTCACACAACTGGATCTGGGGTTTCAACCTGGCCATCTGACTCAAGAGTTTATACACTTACTCACTTCTCTCTTCCTCCTCTAAGATATAGTCCTAGAGCAAGAAACCCCCAAACCAAGGCCCTGAGCCATGATGGATGCATGGTGGGGGGTGGACAAGAGCATAGGCTTCACGATATCCCAGGCTGGTCTTGACCCCAGTTCTTTTAATGATTAGTAGCATCAATATAGGAAAGTTACTTATGTTTTGCAAGGCACACTTTCCTCAACTGCCAACCAGGAATAATTAGACCTAACTCAGTTATTAAAGAGATAAGGTCACCTATGTGGAATTTCTAGCATGGGGTGTCTCATTTAGCTGGCACAGGATCAGTACTAGTTTCTGGCACTTTCTCCTACATGTGTACAAAGAACGTGACTAGAAGCTTTGCCTCTAGCCCTGATGATATTTCCTCCATTTCCAATATCAAGGGTGCTCTGGATCCCAGCTAACACCTTACCTGGCCAAAGGCAAGGAGTTATGAGCACATTGCCTCTGGGATCCCTTTCCACAACAAGTGCTAATGATTCTGAAATTTTGACTTTATGAAAATAAAACGTATAAAAGGGAAATTTCCACAGGAAGAGACTCAGCCTTGTGGTTCATTGAATTGCACGTCTGGCTCACCATCATGGTCTTTAATTATTTCTGGGCAATATATATTTCTTGCAAACCTTCAAAAGGTATTAAGAGAAAGTATCCTATAACATCATATCCAGAATGAGGGACATTTAGGAAGGACAGGTGAGTGAGCCAAGAAATCCTAAAGTTTCAGAGACTTTAGATTACCCACTCTCTTCCTTTTTATGTAATGCTGTTTTTACTCAAACCTCCCACCCACCCCTCTGTGAGCATGAACAAATTTCCATGGATTGTACTCTTCTTAGGAATCTCATTGAATACACAACGAATATAGCTCAGATTTTTCTAAATCAGAACTCAACTTTACATTTACTCTTGACCTTTTGACATCTGGGGTATTTATTGCACTGGAGACACAGAATTACACAGTACCTGTGAGTGCGTTCTTTAAAGTGAGATTGTTGGGATTGACAGTAATAATCTCATAGGTTGTATTTAAACTTAAATAAGATTAAAGCTTTCCATGTAAATTTCTCTGAACAAGTGTTTGGCATTTTGTTAGTGGTTAATGAATATTAGTTATTATCATCACTTAGACACATGATGGGAGTGAAGAAAGGCTAAAAGCTACTTATCACAAATAATTTATTCCTGTTGGACACATTCTTTAAAAACGCAACCTTACTTTTCATATTTTGGAATGGTCTGAGTGAATTTAGCAGAGGCTGTTGGTCACGTGACCTGTGAAGTGGATTCTGAGTCGTCTTGTTATTATCTGTGGTGGTGGAGGGGGTAGATGTTTACTTTTGGGTTTTGATGGGGGAATGTCACTGCAATGTAGGTTATCAGAAATAGAGAACTGTGACAGCACTCCATGAATATGTCCCATCCTTTCGAAAGAACAGGTGGAACTAACCAAATGACTTCTCTCAGACCCCCTGCAGCTGCAGCTCACCAGCACCTCTGCCTATCACACCTACATCCTTCTCCTCCTCGCGAGTGCCGTCTGCTTTACCATCATCAACTTCCGTCTGTTTAGGAGAACAGCAGCCTGTGGCAATGGAAAGAGTTCGTAACAGATTTTGGCATAAAGAAGTCAACTTTTCTCCATTGTTTATTCTCCCAAAAGTGTCATGTGAATATAGCTGGGCTTTCTCTCTGGGTTTGGGTTATTTCAATTCACATGTGTATTTTTCTATATCAGTAATAAAAAATGTCTTTTTAAGCCACTGGACAAACAGAAAATTTTGCTCTGTAACAACGAGTTCTTCCATTATTCGGGAACAGGGCTGTGGGGTCATCCTTTAGCACTCTCTCTCCATGATCTCCATCAGCTCCTCCAGGACCCAAAGAAGCATGCCTTCTTCGTACAGGCAGCATACAGCTCTGTTCATGTCTCTTAGGGCCATTTAACCGGAACTGCCTTGAAGGCTTCCATTTTTCACACCCTGAAGCAATTTCATTTTTACTGGAATTCTGTATGTTGTTTTTCATAATAGGCACAATGAAAAAATCAAAAGTCTACAATTGTCTCTGTGTATTTTAATTTGATGAAATCTAACTGGAAGTCCAAGGTAAGGAACAGAATGACACCTGAGTCATCAAATCCAGCATTGGCTGTAATGATGGTCAATACACAGTTCTAATTCTTTCCCTAAGACAGTGGTCAGGATGCTGTCCTTGGGGTACTGGCTCCAAGAGGAGCCACAGTCACATGAAGGCACCCAGGTTACTTCTCCTTCAAAAGTCACCAGATTCACATTCATTTAGTTTGGGACATTCTGATGGCATCAATATAAGATCTAACATGACTTACACTGTGTGTGCTCAGCTCTACACTAGTGTTTACAAGCACCATGTTTCCTGGTCCTCACACTAACCCCATGAGACCTGCACTCACACCAAGAGGCATCATGGTGGAAGGGTTGAGCCCCTGGACTCTGAACCATGAGCACCTGGATTAGAATCCTGGGTCTAGTATTAGCATCTGTGCTGCCTCAGGCAAGCTACTTGAACTCTCTGTGCCATAACTTCCTCACCTGTAGAATGGAGTTGCAGCGCCCTGTCTCCTGGAGTTGTGTGGAGTTAGATGAGTTAACAGTGCAGGTCCTCAACAGCATTAGCATCCACTCTTCGCAGTTCTACTTTTGAATAGTAGATACTGCACAACACAGAAACACTGACAGTCCCCTCTAACCTTATTTCCCCACAGAGAGGTTAGGTGTGGGTGGAATACGGACTCTGGGTTTCGGCTATGAACCAGGCAACCTCCTTATTCTCTAGGAGCCCCCCGTAGGTAGGCACAATTATAGTACACAGTGTAGATATTGGAGAAATTACTTCCTCGCCTCAAGGTCCCTATTTTGTAAATAATAGTCATTTAGAGTCAGATCTCTCTGAACTCACAGCCAGTATTTTCTAACCTACAATCAGGTGGCCTTTCCTTCACCCACTGTCAACTGGGAAAAACAAAACAATGCAAAACCTACACTGTTTCTCTACTAAAGGCATCCTCCAAGGAGTCAGTGAGAATTTTCTTAAGGACCTGTGGGTGCATCTGTCTTTTCTCCTCATGTATAGACTATGTTATTCCCATAGTTGCTCCCTTTGTTATCAACACTATGGAAATTGTACTTTACCCTGTGAGTGTGTCCTAGATTTGCAACTGCTTTTTTGAGGTCTGCTAATGCACTGAGAGTCTTGGGCAGAGCAGGCCCGTTGGTGGTGCTCTCTGGGGGCACCATTCTGTCACCCCAGCTCCTCCCCTAGACAGAATGGGCCTGTGGGTCCCCAGAGTCACCTGTGGAATCCTCTGTTAGAGCCAGGTGCATTTCTGAGGAAGGAGGTAGGTTATACATTCTTTTTTGTCGTGTGCTTTTCCTCCACAGCATGTCTGCCATGTGGTGTGGTGAGAGAAACACTGGCCCAGAAGTCTCATTTCACTCCCCATAGTTAGAGCATTGCCTCCTTGGTCTGGCTTTAAGTAGCTGTGATGTTTGTTCTTAACCATGTCACATTGTCTAAATTTACCCAGTGTTAGAAGAAAGCGTTCAAGTTGCATCAGGTTTCTAGTGTGATTTAAAAATTCCATAACTAACATCTGAATGAAGTAATAATAGCAAATGCTGGGATAGTGTTTATGGTAGATTTCTAAGTCATGCTATTTATTTAACTCTCAAAAGAACCCTATGAGATATGTACGATTGTCTCTTTTTTATAGATGGGGAAATGGAGGCAAAGAGAGGAAAAGAACGTCCCCTTAGTTAGATATCTAATAAGAAACAGAGCTGAGATTTGACCCCAAGCAGCCTGGCTGCACAAGTTCTGCTCTTACTTTCTACATTATTTGCTACTAGAGTACAAACAGGTTACTTTAGCTTCAATTAAAACAGGAAACTTTCTCTCATTATTAGACTAAGAGCTGGTGGAGGGAACTGCCTCTTCACCTGTCCATACTTACTCTCCTTGCTCCTATGCTGCTCCCACAATTCGAGGGTCATAGGCCAACCTGTCACATAATTTTTCATGCTGGAAAGACTTTTATAGAACTGAGCTCCACCCACCAACAGGACTTCTGTGGTTAAAGTCCACAGCATCTGATTGGATAAATGAATATCAGAACAACAGTTTGCATCCACAGGTGTGCAATGGAAAAACTAGGCAAATATTTACACAATTCCACATAAATCACTCGAGTCTCAATATATTTATAGAGCTAGAGTCTCCATAAACTTCTCAACTGTAACAAAGGGAAACCTCAGGGCAAGAATTCTCAGAATTTCCCAGTTTGAATTGCCCCTAGTGTTTGGATTCTTTCCCTCAGAGACTTCATTTTTGAAGGCTTTCCGTCAATCAAGCAGGTCACAGTTAAGTAATATTTGATTGTTCCTTCTATATTAACACAAATCCCACATAACTGCCTATTAGAAAATCTGAGTAATGAGATAACCAGAGATGCTACACCGACATGAGACAATTCATCCAAAATGCTAGATATTCAACATGTTCATCGGCCATGAAATCTTATCTAGGTAAGTGCATGGTCTCTATCAGGCTCTGTTCTTTTATTTTTTGCTTGTTTGCTGTCTTTTGCTTTGTTTGAATAATAGCAAGCATCTACCACTTAGTGAGCATCAGGAATTCTGCTAGGCAGTTTGGGTGCCTTATGTCTAATGCTCTCAGTGAGCTAGAGTATGGATATCACACTCATCTCACTGGTGAGAAGACTAGGTCCTAGAGAGGCTAAGAAATATGCCTGATACTAAACATGGAGTAGTGCCCGAGTCCACATGACTCCAGGTCGGCCTGACTTAAGACCTCCTTCTCTATCCATTACTCTAGTGGCTGTGCTCCTGGGAGCCTTTAAAAGCCACTGAGGCCCAGCCTATCTCATAGGCCAGACATTGGACTTTCAAAAACCTCCTTCAGCAATTCTCATGCGCACTGGGGTGGAAGCCAGCAAGTGACTGAAAAAGCTCCTGAGCTCCAGCGCTGCTGTCCCAGATCTCACACAGTGAGGAGCCATCACAGAGCCCAGCACACAAGTGAGAATGTGCTGCAGCCAGGAAAGTTTTCTCACTATTCCACCCATCGATTCCTAAGGAAACGAAAAGTACGTACTAAGATTTATGTGCAAGGATGTTATTAGCACTGCAGCATTCATTTATAGCACCCCCTGGTTAACCCAAATTCCCGAGAAGAAACTAAAAAGTAAGCTAAAGGATGTCATATGATTGTCTACTATGCAATTCAAAAAATGTAGGTTGTTTAAAGAAGTGGAAAATTAATCAGAAATCATTGTTGAGAAAATAATATGCATAGCATGACCCTATAACAATTGTCAGGTAATGCCTTCACGTGGTTCAAATATCAAGTACTCTAAAATATGCACGAAGACACTTTGCTTCAACCACTGTCTCTCCTGCTCCCACTTCTACAGGTCAGACTCTTGTTTCTGGGGCATCCTTCCACTTTTTATATCTGCAAATATGAATGTACTTATATAAACATCTGTGCCTATATATATATTCTCATTTCCTCCCTTCTTACACAGAGGTAGTAAACCATATACATTATTCTGCACGGCTCTTTTCCCCTAAATGTCCTATAACTCTTTCCTTGTCAGTGTAGAGGGACAGTTACATGGCTGTATGATATTTCACTGGTGAATGTAGAACACTTTATAACATCAGTTTGCTGTCATAGACCCCTGGCTCATTTTCAATCTTTTGCTACTATAAGAAATGCTGAAATATATTACAATAGTGTTTTCTGTCATTTTGTATGCAAGTGTCGGTGAATTTGATAGGTATTTCCAACTCGTCCATGACAGAGAGCACCATTCTGCACTTCTACCACAGTGTCAGTGAATGTCAAGAGTGTGCCTCAGGACTTTCTAATCTGACAGGTGAAAAAGAACCTCATCACACTTTTAATGTGTTTTCCTCTTACTATGAGTGATGAGAAGAATCTTTTCTTTTTTCTTTAAAGATTGGCACCTGAGCTAACATCTGTTGCCAATCTTCTCTCTTTTTTATTTCTTCTTCTTCTCCCCGAAGCCTGCAGAAGAATTTTTCTTATATTGAAAGTCTATATTTCCTTTTTCTGTGAAATATTTGTTTACATCCTTTGACCATTTTTTCTATTGAGTAATAATACCAACAGATATGACACTCGTTTACATGTGTCTCTGTATTTCTACAATCGTAGGAATAAAACATCGTGGTCAATGTATGGTAGGAGGGTGCAAAAATGGTAAGAGATCGTATATTTTTCTATTTTCCCTAACTAATATTTTTTAAGTAAAATCATTTTAAAATTAAAATTAAAAAGTATCTTGCTTAAAATTGGCAAAATTTTTGTTTGTTCTTTTATAATCAGCTTCAGTTTCTGTGAAGCGTGTTTCTTTTGGAAACCAGGTAGACGTTCCCATTTGGAAACAAAATAAGACCCACACGATACAGGAAAGATTAAATTTGATTTAGACTTTTCTCATTTATTCTTGTGAATTCGATCAGATTCTCTAGGCCCAATCCCTGGCCCTCTCCTTAGAGACCTGGAACTATATCTACGTTGG